CCCCACCCCTCAACTACTGTTTAGTATAAACAAACCAGGGCCTTGCAGAGAGCAGGGAGACAGGGCTCTAAACACATAGCCTGAGCTCATGTGACCCTAGCTTTCCAGGCTTTGTGACTCCGAGGGGCCTGCCTTGGGGAGAGGGAAGACCAAAGTGCCCCTCCCATAGCCGGCAGGGTGCCTCCAGATACCTGGCCCTTGGTGCTGTACCTGCTTTCTCCAGCCATAAAGCCAGACAGAGTGGAAGCAGGGAGAAGGGAATGGGAGCATGCCTGCCAGGGGGGCCAAAGAAACCCAAGTACCCAAGATCCCAAGATGAGGTCCCAAAGACTTGGAGAGCCCACGCATTGCCCAAAGGTGGAATCAAGGCAAGGAGGTCCCATGGAGCCCTCCAAGATTGCACAGAGCAAAATCCCAGGAAGGGGAGCAGAGTGGGAGGGGTTCTGGCCACCTAGGCCCAGGTCTGGGAGGAGCAGGGTGTAGGGCAGAGGAGGTGAGCCTGCAGATGGAGGTAGAAAAGGTGGAGGCTGGTGTGGGCCCCCTTTGAGGACATCCCCAAGAGCAGGTCTTGGGAGCGGGACTCCAACTCCAGCACCCAATCCCCTGCCCTCTCACCCACCCTCCACCTCCAAAGCTGCTTGTATCCCCCCCTTCCCCCAAGTCCATGTCTCCTCTACTGGCTGCTGTTGCTTCCTTCCACCCCTCTGCACTCTGCCCCCACCCAGATATTGCTGGGCCTGTTCCTGGTTTTCCATGGGCGCTCTCCAAGGAGAGCAGCTGGGCTCCAGGCAGTGGAACCTGGTCACTCTTTTGTTTGTTTGTTTGTTTGTTTGTTTGTTTGTTTGTTTCTGAACAGGTTTTGTTACACCTGGGATGAGGCTCACTCAGTCCTTCTTGGCTGCTGCCTTCCTCATGGCTACAAGGACATTACTTAGCCCCTCTCTTCTTCTTGGTGCGAATGTGTGTCCCCACCCTTTTCTTGATGAATTTTGGGGTCCTCTTGTCCTTGAGCAGCTCCATGGCACGCCACTCATAGGGGCAAAGCCACACACCTGTGGATCGCGTCCCGCACAAACTTGGTGTGCTTGGTGAGGTGCCCAAGGCAGCAGCAGCTGTGCCTCAGCTCTCTCATGTTTTTGGTCACCTTGTGGCCTTTGTTGAGGCCACGACCATGGGGTAGCGCAGAGCCATGGCTGCCGTGGGGGAAGGCCCACCCCACTCTTTTGCTGTGCGCCCTGGGCCGACAGATCAGGGTTTGAACAGCCCATCCTCAAGCCCAGAGAGGCCTTAGGAAACTTCTGACCCAGACACCCCACTCTCAGAGGAGTCTCAGGCCCTGGGGGTGTGAGGCCCCCACAAGGCAGAGACGTGGCCCAGACTCCCCCTCTTTACCTTTCTGAATGGGAGCCAGGCCTCCCTCCCACCCAGTGTGGCAGTGAGGATTAATGGAAATTCTGTGGCGCTGTACTTTTTCCACGGTTTAATTCCCAAGAGCTTCCCTGGGGGTGGTGGGGGACACCAGCAAGGACCACCCCAGTGTCCCCAGTTGTGGAGAATAAAGACAAGACTGTCCCCAAAACTTCCACACACACATAATTTCAGGGACAAATTTTTGGTTGCAATTTTTTAAAATGGATTTTTCCCCACCTAAAATGCTCTTATCATTTTCTAGGCCATGGCATAACCTGATCCTAATAATATACTTTTGGATTTCTTAAGCCAAGGAAGTAACTTTTTATCTGTAAAAATTGCTGAGAAATAACAATTCAGTGTCCTTTTTCTCCTCTAATCAAAACTTTTTGTTTGGCTTTGCTTTCTATCCCCAGGCAACACTTGAACCTGGAGAGTTAAAGAGTGAGGTCTGTCCCTCCCTCAAAGAAAGAGGGCTGAGAGGAGAAGCATCATTCATTCATTCATTCATTCAACAAAATGTTACTGAGTGCCTACTATGTACCAGCCTCTCTCTCCCTCCCTCTCTCTCTCCCTCCCTCTCTCTCTCCCTTACCCCCCTCCCTTTCTCCCGCCCTCCCTCCTTGCAGCATAGGGTGGGTGGAATCCTGCCTATCCAAGGCTCAGGGGGCACCTTCTTCTCACCCTACCTTGGTAGTCAAAAGGCCTAGGTCCTGAGTTCCAGGCAAAATGATTTTAAAATGGAAGAAATGAGAGCACCATTTTTTAGACACTGTGCACAGGCACACATGTGCACGCACACACAGAAGAAGCTGACAATACCATATGGTCTGTGTGTCTGTGCACACAAATGTCCCTACCCCCAAAAGACGGTCCCTCGTCCCAGCAAAATGCCCCTGAGGATTTGGGGTGCACAGCTCCAAAGGGCACTGCACTAAGCAGCGTCCCTAGAGTTGGACGACGCATGGGCTTGGCTCTAAGCCCCCAATCCTTTATTCCTGGGAGTCCCTCTCAACCCCCCCCCCACCGCCCCGTAAGTCTCACCTTCGAAAGGCACCCTCTGTTCATGAGTCAAACTTACTGCCTGCTTCTTAAACCTTCCTGCGGCCCAGCCAGTTGGCGCTTATAGTCTTCATGTCCTGTCTCTGCCCTTCACCAAGTTCTTTCAGAGCAGTCACCTGATGTGCAGTGTATCCTTTGTGTACTTTGCCTCATTTTTTCCTCCCGTCAGAGTGGAAGTCCCTTGAAGGTAGGAACTAAGAGAGGCTTGCTAGTGTTGAGGTCCAGGGTATGTTTTTGTCAAGATAGACTGAGTTCAAGTGCAGCTGTGTGGCTTTGGGCAAGTAACTTAACCTTTCTGAGCCTCATGCTGCAACTATAAAAACAGAATGATGAGAACCTTTACCTCATAGGGCTAGAGTGACACTGAGTGAGATAATAGTTGAGCCCTCAGTAAATGTGGGTGTCCTTTTTTCTATGTATCCCTAGTCCCTAGTACATTGTAGGTTTATTTATTTAGCACTTATAGGTTTATTTCCATAACACTTATAAGTAAGTATTGGGGGGTCTGTTTATCAAATAAACAGATCTTCAGTGCTTTTCAAACAATCTACCTTCTGAGGAGGATGCTATTTTTTCCATAATACAATAGGGAAACTGAGGCTCAGAGAGGTTAAGTAGCTATCTCAAGGTCACACAGCTAAGAGGAGAAAGAGCCAGAGTTTGAACCCAGGCCATCTGAGTCACAGTCCCTGTTCTTAAATACTGTCCTATGCCTCACTCTACCTGATAAATTTAGTATAGAATT